GAACTTTTTACAACTCCACCAGGACAAAACTGAGCCTCTGGTCATTGGAACTGAAGCTCAGAGGGACGATCTCAGTTCACAACCACAAGCTCTGGCATTAAAACCATGAAAACAAGTTAAAAATCTTGGACTCAGCAGTCAAGTTTGAGGCCCACATTAAAAATATTACCAAGATGTCTTTTTATCACTAAAAAATCATTGCCAGACTGTGACCAGTCCTCTCTAAAACTAATGGAGATACTCTAATAGATGTTTTTATTACATGCAGCACTGATTATTGTAATGTTGCACTGTCTGGTCTCCAATAGAAGACTCCAACTACTTCAGAACTCGGCAGCACGAGTTCTATCGAAGACCAGAGGAGAGCTCATATTACACTATTTTTAAAGTCTCTGGTTACGTGTCTCTTTTACAATTGATTTTAAGATCCTTTTATTAGTTTATAAAGTTCCTAATGGTCTTGGTCCTTCGTATTTATCAGATTTGCTTTTACGTTATGAACCCTCAAGAACCCTCAGGTCTTCTGGTCGTGGCTTTTTAATTAAACCTGAAGCCAGAACATAAACCTACATTCAGGCAGCATTTTGTTATAACATCTGTGGAACAGCAGAAGACCTGAGGACAGCAGAGTGTTGATGTTTTTAAAAGCAAGCTCAAGAATCTACCTTTTCAGTCAGCCTTTTGATTGATTTGATAGATTTTATTTATTTATTCCTCTTCCCAGTAATAATTTTCTGTATTTAATTTTCTATTTATTCACCTATTTACATATTTTAATCTATTTAATGTAATTTATCACTTCATTTTCATCATTTCTTATTCTATTAAATTTTTTTTAACTTTTAGTCTATCTTCATCTATCCCTATTTTAATAATAGATACTTGATTTATTTGATTTCAGTTATTTTTCCAGCTTATTTTTATTTCATTTCATCTCACTTGGTGTTTCCTGATCACATGTGTTATATAGAACAATGTCAGGATTGTTTGTACTGTTTCATAGCATTTTTTTTTCCTGTTATCTGTAAAGCACTTTGTGTTGCATTTTTTTCGAAGTGTTTTATGAATAAAGTCTGACTGATTGATTGATTAATTGATTGATTGATTGATTGAAAATATTATTGCATCATGAAGAAAATGATATAAATGAAATTGAAATTTTAAAACACAACAAACTATTTGCTGGTTGTTGATCAATTTGTTATTGTTTATAATATGGATAGTAGTAAAGTTCATCCAGATTCTCAAAGGAAAAACACATGTGTAACAGACTTTTTTATTGAACCAAAAACTGAGGAATTTATTCCACTGGTTGGTTATATACAGTTCTGTAAATTTAGTCTTTGGTACATTTTCATACAATTTTAGAAAATTTTCTTTCTTTACAGAGACAAAACCTTTCATGAGATTAAAAAGGCATTTTCTCAGCAGGTCCTGAAGTCTTTCTCCCTGACCACCATTCATGGATACAAAAATCTCAAAATAAAGTAAATCAGTAAAAGTAAATGTTGTATTAAGGTATGTTGTAAAAACCAAACCAAAAAAAAGAAAACAAACAAAAAAACCCAGCAGTGTTATATGCTTAAAATGTCACAGTATATCATGTTTTCATGATGAAAAATATAAAAGATCTGGATGCTGTAAAGATTTCACTACAGATGTCATGTTGCAGTTTATCATATCACACAGGATAGTTTGTTGTAAAATAATGTCATAGTTTAATGTTTTGTTAAATCTTGGATCTGAACACATGTTTCTGAGTGACAGAGACATGTAGAGACTGAACTATCTGTTCAACAGGGAAACTGTTTCTCTAACAGGAGGACACTCTGGATACTGAACTCAACACAGACACACTGAGGAACCAGACCAGAACCCAAATCCAGGATACAGAGGTTCAGTGAATGTGGTGTTGAAGGTGTGGAGGTGTATCAGAGAGTCAGAGGAGACTCTGTAGAAGGACAGAGTTCCAGCAGGACAGTCCACATAAACTGATACTCTGTGAGAGACTGAAGACCTGATGGATGTTTTTCTGTTATTGTGTCTGACAGAGTAACCACCATCAGAGCATGTCAGAGTCCAGGACTGATGATTACGTCCAAACACACAGTCATTAAGGTCTCCTCTCCTTCTGATTCCTCTGTAACTCACTGATATATTGACCTTTCCTCTCCACTCAACCTCCCAGTAACAGCGACCAGTCAGATCAGTTCTACACAGCAGCTGACACCAGTCAAACCTGTCTGGATGAACAGGATACAACTGAACCTCCTTCACACGTGTCACCTTCCTGTTGTTGTCAGACAATTTGAGGTTCCTGTTTACTGTGTTTGTGTCGACTGTGAGTTCACAGGAATCTGATGGAGAGAACAAGCACATTATGAGAAGAAGCACATTATGTTTGATCATGTGATCAGAATTAAACCTTTGACGATGACCTCAGAGATGTGACAGTTTGAAGATGGTTGAATGTGCTTCTTTGTTTCCATGAACCCCATTAAAACACTTACATTTCCTCAGACCTGGAGTCAACCATCGGACTCCAGCAGGTGTCAGCCTGAAAGGAGGAGGACGGTCAGAGCAGCAGAAAGCCTTCCAGGAGCACACATGGACGTTACATCGCTGTCAGCTGTTACACACTGATGAAGGACTAGTCCACCATGAAACAGATACACCTCACACATGAATGTCTGTCTGTACCTGAGAGTGTCCGTCTGTGTATGTCCCTGAGAGTGTCTGTCTGTCTGTACCTAAGAGTATCCATCTGTACCTCAGTGTCTGTTTGTCCGTACCTGAAGTGTCTGTGTGTCTGTACCTGAGCGTGTCCGTCTGTGCCTGAGAGTGTCTGTCAGACTGTACCTGAGAGTGTCCGTCTGTCTGTACCTGAGCATGTCTGTCTGTGTGTCTGTACCTGAGAGTGTCAGTCTGTGTATATGTCCCTGAGACTGTCCGTCTGTCTGTACCTGAGAGTGTCCATCTGTCTGTATCTGATAGTGTTCATCTGTGTGTCTGTACCTGAGAGTGTCCGTCTGTACCTCCGAGTGTCTGTCTGTCTGTCTGTACCTGAGGGTGTCCGTCTGTCTGTACCAAAGAGTGTGTCCGTACCTGAGAGTTTCCATCTGTCTGTACCTGAGACTGTCTGACTGTCTGTATCCTGAGAGTGTCCGTACCTGAGAGTGTCCAGTCTACAGTGTGGATTCTCCAGTGAAGCTGACAGCAGCTTCTTTCCTGCGTCTCCTGGATGGTTGTAGCTCAGGTCCAGCTTTCTCAGGTTTGAGGGCTTGTGTCTCACAGCTGAGGCCAGAGAAGCACAGCCTTCCTCTGTGATCAGACAGCCTGACAGCCTGCACACACAAAACAACACAAACCTGACTGACGACACTTGGCTGCATGTTTGTCACTCTTTGTTTTCTTCTTTGTATTTCAGCTACATTTTGGTGCAGATTTGATGCATCCAAACTAAATAAAGAATCAACCTGAACAATAATTAGTGGGATTTTAAAATTCAAAAACTGAATATGAAATAGAAATATAATAATTCTAATGTATAATAGATAATATAATAATATGTCCACGGACAATTTAATCTTTCAGTTTAGAAAATCCTGCTGAAGTTCAGTAAAAGGTAATTTGATGAATCACATCAGCAGAAATGATTGTACACAGTTTAGCTGTTTATCCACTGATATAAATCAGATCAGTTTCAAAGTGTGAATCCTGACCTGAGAGTCTCCAGTTTACAATGTGGACTCTCCAGTCCAGCAGAAAGACTCTTCACTCCTGAATCCTGCAGGTTGTTGTTAGTCAGGTCCAGCTCTGTCACACTGGAGGACTGGGAGCTGAGGACTGAGGACAGAGCTTCACAGCTTCTCTCTGACAGATTACAGCCACTCAGTCTGAAGAGACAAGAAGAAGATGATACTGAAAAAACAGCAGAATAATGAAAAAGTATGTTCAGTCTCCAACTACTTACAGAACTTTGCTGGAGGCTTTGACCACTGGCAGCAGTCTCAGAAGAACCTCCTCTGAAGCAGAGTATTTCTTCAGGTCAAACACGTCCAGATCTTCTCCTGATGACAGTAAGACGAAGCCCAGAGCCGACCACTGAGCAGGAGACAGTTCATCTGTGGACAGACGTCCTGATCTCAGGGACTGTTGGATCTCCTCCACTAGAGAAACATCCTTAACTTCATTCAGACAGTGGAACAGATTGATGCTTCTCTCTGCAGACACATTCTCACTGATCTTCTCCTTGATGTACTCCACTGTTTTCTGATTGGTCCATGAGTCACTTCCTGTCTGTGTCAGCAGGCCTCGTAGGAGATTCTGATTGGAAGGCAGTGACAGACCCAGGAGGAAGCGCAGGAACAAGTCCAGGTGTCCGTTGGGACTCTGTAAGGCCTCATCCACAGCTCTCTGGTAGAAAACTGATGATTTGCTTTGAAACAGTTCAGACCAACGGGATGTTGTTTGTTCTTTTTCCAGCATGTTGATTTCAGAGTTGATGAAGGTCTGATGGACATGAAGAGCAGCCAGAAACTCCTGAACGCTCAGATGGACGAAGCAGAACACCTTGTCCTGGTACAGCCCTCTCTCCTCTTTAAAGATCTGTGTGAACACTCCTGAGTACACTGAGGCTGTTCTCATATCGATGCCACACTCTGTCAGGTCGGACTCATAGAAGATCAGGTTTCCGTTCTGCAGCTGCTTAAAAGCCAGTTTTCCTAGAGACTCAACCATCCTCCTGCTGTCTGGACTCCAGTATGGATCTGTCTCAGCTCCTCTGTCATACTTGATCTTCTTGACTTTGGCCTGAACCACCAGGTAGTGGATGTACATCTCAGTCAGGGTGCTGGGCAGCTCTCCTCCCTCTCGGCTTCCCAGCAGCTCCTCCAGAACTGTAGCAGTGATCCAGCAGAACACTGGGATGTGGCACATGATGTGGAGGCTTCGTGANAAACCTCAAGAATATATCATCATTAAAATTGTTACCCAAGTTTATGCGTAAATAGCCCTTTAAATAAAACTGAAAAATGTATGTCAATGACTTATTTAGAGATGTTAAACATTGCATGGGGTGAAATTGACCCCAAAGATTGGAGGGTTAAGACCAGAAACTACTTTGTGCAGCTTTATCAGCTCTTACATACAATATCTTCAGTTGGTTATATATTGTAAAAAAATAAAATAATAATAATCTTTTTAGATGAGACATAAGCAAAGCTAAATGAGATGATATTTAAGATATTGTGCATCGTGTTCTACCTGCTGTGTGTAAAACTGTGTTTTCACTGTTTGAAATATGAAGGAAGGAGACACATGAGTAAATAAGAATTCTTTATTTAGTTTCAGTTACAGTAGCAATATAATGCATGCAACATATACAAAGCTTTTCTAAAAGACTCATTAAATTGAGGAATATTAACACATTTACAATAAGAGAGCTTCTGCTTCTTTGAGAGCGTTTTCTATTTCAGCCACCTGAAGAGAGAAATCCTCCCTTTCCTGCATCATATGTTCTCGTGCTTTCGCAAGGTCTGTCATTGTTGTCTGGATCTCCTGAAAGTTTGTAAAAAATAAAAATGTAAAAAGAATTCACAGCTTACCAGCAAATAGCAACATTACATTGGTCAATGAAAGTAACAGGGCAGTAAAAACTGGGAGCAGAAAAAGATTCACCTCCAGCTGAGCACGTTGCTGTGATGACATATCACCAAAGGCCTTTAATTCATTCAGCAGCTCAGCAGAAATACCCTGAAATAGAGGCAGTAGAGATGTTTAGTTGGCTGTGTGTGTGTGTGTACAAGTATACTGTCGTTACAATATTTTTTTTTAACTTGTGTGGTTACATAGCATGGAACAATTTAATAAGAGCATGCTTTTTAATTTTACATATATTCAAGTTTAAAGTTATTTGTGTGAGTTTGAAATGACGTTTGTATATGAAAAATAAAGCATGACTGCGTATATATCGTCAGTTAAACTGAAATAAAATAAAGGTACCATAGCTTCTTTCCTTTGATCTTCATTCTGTTGTGCAGCATCACCGACCCTTTCTCCTAAAACTAAAAATCAAACACGTTAATTTCTATCAAGTAATGTGGCTGACAAAAGTAAAAAATGAAGTGGAGACATGTATAATTCACCTGGGTCTATTTTGGCAGAAACTAGGAGAACATGACAGTCCTTCAGGTTTTTCTGGACCTCTGCATTTTCCTTTTCAAGGTCATTGAACTGCAGCTCCAGCTCAGCTACTTTTTGCTGTAACATAGAAATAACTTTAGATTTTGCAGAATATGATTAAATAAATAAATGTTGTACCACAGCTGTAGCTGACAACACATATGACTGGCATTCTATCAAGAGACAGGTGCATTCAAAAATAGAACTTTAGTATAAATATAGTTCTATTAGGTCTTAGTAAATGTACTCTGTACCTGTGTCTCTGACAGGTTTTTCTGCAGCTCCTCATTGGCAGCCATCAAATGTTGATTTTGTTCCTTGAGCTCTGCCTGTTGACCGTACCTGGTGGAAACCCTGTTAAAAGATACAATAAAGTTGTGGGAAAAATGTCTGAAGCCTATTGCATGTTCAGGATGTGCAGTATAATGTCTGACTTACCCTTTGTAAACTTTAGGAGCAACATTTTTCCTGTAAGACAAAAGGTGAATTAAATGACAGAATTCAGTAGCAAAGAAGCAACACAGAGTCCAGTAGGTACCAGAGGACAGATTTAAACCCACAGGCACACATTTTTTATGTTTTACACCAAATAATGGCAAAAAGACAAGAGAAGAGATCACCTGTCAGTTTATTTCTTTCCAGGTTGTGTGCCTCTCCTTGCCTTCTTACCATAACGAGGGAAATTGCAAGCATATATTTTTATTTTGTAAATTAGCTGTTTCTTACCTTGCTATGTTTTCTTTTTGGGGTTTAAGGATACCATCTGATTTCTGGACAGTATTTGCTGCTGTGGATAGAGTTGCTTTGTCTTTGGATTCAAGTCTATGACCTGTTTTCTTTGTTTCTGCTGGTAAGTGGAGAGGTGGAAGAAGGATGATTGTTAATCATACAACAGTTTTGTTTATATCATGCACATTGATTAAAATCACCAGCAAAGTGAAAGAACAACTGATTCAGCTCACCTCTTGGTATTTGTGACATGGCTCTCTCCACAATGGATACAATGCCAGCAATGATAGAGGTCCCTGTATGGAGAAACAATCTGATAAACTATATATATATATATAAAAACAAGACACAGAAGAAGTTGATAAAGCTATTACCCCATAGAAGACCACATATTTGAGTGTTCCTAATTTCATTACCAAGTTGTTTAATTATTGTTTTCCGAAATATATGCAGTGAAAGGATGTTTTCTACAGTCAGTCGATTCCAAAATCTTTTTTTGTGGTCAACAAAAAGTCAACTTGCTTTACAAAAGCATGCGCCAATACATTTTGTACGGTTGGGCTGAAAGATGAATTGCTTTTTTAAACTAATTGTCAAGGCTGCAATTTAGGATAAGTGTTCTGCAATTCTGCAACAAATAATCATTTCGTTTTCAGCTATTACAGTAACTGCCAGTAAGCTTACCAGTTTTAGTAATTGTTTTTTAGAACGATGAAGTCCAAATTCTTCTTAAATGTAAATGGTTTCAGGTTTCTTTACTCCTCTATGATGACAAACTGAATATTTTTTGGTTTAAAAAAAAAACAAAAAACAAGACATTAGAGGATGTAATCTTGGTTTTAGTACACTGATGGACTTTTGTCATCATTTTCTTACATTTTATAGACCAAGCAACTGATCAAATAATAACAAAGACAATAACTGACTAATTAATCAGCCATTAAAATAATTGATTGCAATATCTGTCAAAATAAATTGCAATTAGATATTTTTACCAAAACAATCAACCGGAACGCCACGGGAAGGAAAAAAGGGGATCTTCAGCTTAAATGTAGAGCACAAATGATCAAATCCACATTCTGTTAGTACACACAGTGCCCAGAACAGGAAGGCTGAAAATTTAAAAAGGAAACATCCTACAAATGTCCACATCAATCAAATTACACATTTTGTTAACAGAAGATTAAGACAGACAAACTAACACATAAAAAAAAAAAAATACATTAAAAAGACTACCAATTACTTTGATGTGATTTCATGTATTTTCTCTCTACAGCACGGTTGACATTTTGTTTGAGGGGGCTCAGGTTTCGTTTGGTGGAGGTAAAATCACCACTAAGCTCTTTAATACAACTGTCACTTCTAAAGACTTAATAGGAAGGTTATAAATCACAACACCACATACATTAGCTATTAGCCGAAACATAAAAATGAACAGATTTTGAACGGACTTTAGCTAGCTCTCCTCAAAACAACACTTGCTGCAACATAATCGCGCTAGATTTGGTTTGGTGAGACTTACGCGTCCTACATTAACCAAAACATACAACTATGTTTGACTTGGTTCAATAAAACTATATTAACGCCTACCTTTGTGGACACGTTGAAAATGGGATTTGTCAACAGTCAAACAAACGGAGCCGCAACAATTTTAAAAACGTCCCGCCCTCTGCGGTCACTTCCCGTTTGGTGACGTCACTTCCTGTATACGTTATACGACTTTTCTATATTTCTGGTCGTCAAAAGGTTTGTATTTCTTCATTAGAGAATATGAAAAAATATACACAGACTTAAACATACTCGACTATATTTACTGGAATAAGCAAAGAAATCGAATAAATATAGAGAACAGGGGCAACCCTCCACAGGACTCTACTGCGCACGCGTGGAGGCGGCTAAATTCAAAACTCAAGACGTTAGCATCGAGGCTCGTTGACGTTAGCTTCAGGTTGTGTGTTCGCACATCGATCCTGCTAAAAATAAGCGCCATGAAAACTGTTTAAAGTTAGGTAGCAACTGAGAACACGATTTTTTTCGTTGCAAAACGCGGAGGATCCGCTCACAACAATTACAAGGTATGTGCTGCGATATTTCTTTGATGTTCAGTTATTTTCTTGGTAATTTGTCAATAGCAAGCTAACAGTAACGTTAGCCACAATTAAAGTACACCAGGGTCCAAGTTTTCTATCCTCGCTCGTGAGGTCAGTAAACATTAAAAGCTTGTTTGTATAAAAATGGAGAGAAATGCAAGATATTCAGAAATTGGTGTTTGCGTTGGAAAGGGCGGTGTTTGTTGACAAAGGGAAATGCATACCGTTGTACGCAGTTAAAATTACGTTTCGCAGCAGATTAACGCAGTGGTCTTGTTAGGAAAGCTAAACTGTTTTCAGAAGCCTAAAATCTTTGTTTATCCCCAGTCCCCTGTTTCCACGATGTTTTGAGGCGGAGAGAGATTGAATGACAGAGACTTGGTCTATTATGATGACGTTGAGATGGTCACCCTTTCATTCACGTACCAATTTCAATTTGATCGTCTTGTCTCTGCAATATTTTGCCTGCTCTAAGTACTAGATTATAACAGGTCCAGTTTCTTACGACTTGAAATAGTTTTTAAAGAGCAACTAAACTCATATAATGCAGTGATTGCAGCCAATACATCCATCCATCCATTATCGGTACATTGCTTTATCCTCTGTAGAACTGGAGTCTATCCCAGCTGACTCAGGGTGAAGGGAGAGTTCATCCTGGACAGGTCGCCAGTCTATCACCAAGACATACAGACAAGCACACTGACATTCATACCTACAGACAATTTAGAATCACCAATTAACCTCAACGTGTTTTTGGACTGTGCGAGGAAGCCGGAGAACCCGGAGAGAACCCATGCTGCACAGGGAGAACATGCAAACTCCACACTGTAACTGAAATATTATTATTACATCAGATGGCATGAGTTAATTTATGTGGGCTGTGTTTTATAGCTCATAGCCTGCAGGATAATTGCAAAATGTTTTCATTACAATCTAAAGAAGGATATTTGACATATCAAACACATACAGCCTAAACTTAAGAAGCAGCACTATAATATTGTCTGTAATCACCCTAAATATCAACATGTTTGGTGTCAAAAACTATTTGGTTACAAGAAATATCAAAGTTTCACAACAACACACTTTTGCGATTACCACGACACCTGTTTGTTACTCTTGCACACCTGATCTACCTGTGAGCCCCCGAATAATGTTTTCAGTTTTGAATTCTGTGGCTAAATATGGCTAATCATGCAGTACATCACTGAGGTTCAACTCAAATTTGCCAGTAGAGAACGCTGTGTCTTACAGACTTGAGTGTTCTGATACTGCAGAAGCTTATTTCTGTATTAAAATGCTATTTTTATGTTCTACAGTTGAAGATGGAGCCTCTGGATCCTACCAAGAATCTGTGAGTGACAATTGTGATGTTGAGAGAGAGCAGTTAGTGTTTTGTGCCTGAACTTCAAAGCAACATGCATTTACCTCTTTAAAAGTTGTGTTAACTAATACGTGCTTCGTGTTACAGTGAAGGCAGCGGATTTTCCAAACGACGTATTTCCTCGGTTAGTGTGAGAAATGATTTGACAGACACAGTACTTTTTCTTTAACCTGTTGTCAACAAATGATTGACCTAAACTATTGTTTGCATTTGTTTTTGTTTTTTTTAGATTTTAAAAGCACCACGGAAATCAACCAGATTCCCTGACCCAGAGCAACAGGAAAATGTGGTAAAGGGATTGCTTTCTGATTAGCGTCTGGCTGTTGTAAAACTCATCCTTTTAAGCATAAAAGAATAAAACTGAGTAATGTTAACTTTGTGGTTATGTACCTTAACAGCTATGTTATATTTATTTCTACTTAGGTGGAATGTGCCAAACCAGTGGAAAAGAGGAATTCGAGGAGAGTCAGCTTTGCCCCTGCCAATGATGTTCTCCTGTTTTCTAAGTGAGTTGCTCAAAAGTAGCCCATTTTACACTAGAATATATGTAACAAGTCAAACAAATCAATAATCTTTTCTTTGTAGGGATGCCAAAAATGCCTCCCCTGGCCAAACTCCTTTACAAGAGTTAGGAACAGCAGGTATGTAATATAGTAATATAGATAAGCATGTAGTTAAAACATTTTAAGCAGCTTTGTAATATTTGTACTGTGCTATTCCACAGCAGCAGACACCACACAGAACAGGTAGGATGATATGACCCTTCAGGCCCTGCCTATTCAGACTACAGTTTTGTCGGTCCAGTCCAATTCATCTGTTTTAATATAAATACTCTTTTTTTTTTTTCTTACATTAGGATCCAGGCGGCCGTCACTGATGATGGGAGCCAACAAATCCTGGGTGGGAATATTGTTTTGGTTTTATTTGTTTAGCTTTGTGTTTGTACTTACTTCAAGCAGCAGATGCTCACATTATCTGTTGCTGTGTAAGATCACTATTACTAAATCCAGATCTCCAAATTTAGGTATGGAAACCCTTTTGAAGGCCCCTCTGCATACTTCTCAACAAAAGGTGAGTTTGACGTGTCTGATGTTTTACTTAATGTTTTGCTAATTTTGTGTTTCTCACCACTGTCTCAGCCACCAAATGGCTGAATTAGTTTATTACAGTATCACAGTTTTATGTGTAAAACTTGATATTTAATTGACATAAAGTTTTGTCACTTTACTAGGTCAACTTTGACACGATGGATGACTTTGGGGAGAAAACGGTGATGTTTTCTACAGAGGATGCATTCATGGACATGACCCACAGCCACACTATAAACATTGCCAGTGATTCAGAAATACTTGGAGATATTTCCCTTCAAAACTATGGCATTTTACCCACTGGCAAGGAGAAAAGAGGCATGATCACTGTGGGTGATGGATTCACAGATATGACCCTAAGTCATACTGTAAACATGACCAGTGGGTCACTAACTGCAAGCAGGAACATGAGTTTAAGCGAAGAGAAGAGAAACGTTTCTGCATCATTGCCTTGTATGGATCCTGGATTTGAAAACTTCCTTGCAAGTCTGTCTAAACCAAGTGGTCCCAGCATTAACGTCACCAGAATGGCAGCGTCGGATGGAACATCCTCTGGAGAAGCAAGCAGCTCACTGGCCCAGATTAAAACGCAAAGAGCCGATGTAGATAAAGAAAATCAGGCTCCCACTTGTGTTTCCGCTGTGCTTGAAAAGTCACTAAATAACAGCAGAAGAATCAGAGAATCCTTTTACGGAAGCGCACTATGTCCAAAAGATGATGTGACCATGGATTTAACTGAAGCTCAGACAGGCCGCATTCTGGGAGTCAACGACGACGATGATGATCCTTTTCAGTGTCTTTTTCCTACTCAAGACATGTACGCCCACTTTGACAAGAGAGTATCACCAACAGCAGAGAGGATGAAGACCAACCAGCAGCAGAGCAGTAGAACCTGGGGATCAGCTGATCCTAAAGGTATAAAGTTTCTAACGTTGTGATTGTTTTAACATTTTTGCTGTCTTGACTGAATTGTAAGGGCCACTCCACAGCTTTTACACATCAAAGTGAGACTATTAGTAATATGAAATACCAATTAGTATGTCAAAACAATTGTCAAAAATAATGTCTTTTTTTCTGGAAAAGCTTTGCCAAGTTTGACAAAATATTCCATCGTAATAATACGTAATGAAACATAAGTTTTTAACAGAAATCTGGTGTGAACTTTACAATGCAGATACTTACGAAAGAATGGCCTAACAAAGGACTGAGTGTTATTATGGCAGAGTATCCTATGCTTTTGGAGTATGACTCATGGAAACTACTTGTCTGCATGTCTTGGCCTCTGCTTCTGTGTTTCCTTTTTTTCTCTCTCTCTTTTTAAATGTCCAAATCTGTCTCTTGTGAGTCTCACAACTTTACGAAAGTTCAGTGAAAACGTGCACTTTTTTTTTTTTTTTTACCTCAACAATTTCACAGTTACTTGAGCTCTGTTTTAAGTCGTGTCTTTTAAATTTCATTTTCCAAAATTAGATAAGAAACCCCTGATGAACTATCTTCCACATGCTCCTCATGCAACACATAAGGTGAGTTTTTCAGTATAGTTTCCAAAATATGTAGTTTTGATGGTTTTTAATGATTACATGGAAGTCGTTTTTTAGTGAGTATGTGATTACTATGTGTCCCTTGTTTTTCAGGTCAGCTCTGATGCAAAACCTGAATGCAGGGAGAAGACAATAGTGTTCACTGCAGACGAGTTGATGGACATGACTCAGAGTCACACAGTGAACATTGCCAGTGGTTCATTCGCTCCTGACCAAACATCAGCAAGTAGTTTTGAGCCAGGATTTAATAACTTTCTCGCAAGCCTCTCTAAACCAAGTGACCCCAGTAGTGATCCTGTGAGTGCCAGAATGACACCAACTGCTGCATTGTCTTCTGCTGAAACTACCAACACAATTGGTTCCCTGTCCCAGCTTAAAACACCAAGGGCTGAGGTCGATAAAGAATATATGTCGCTAAGCACAATCTGCCCTGAAGATGACGTGAGCATGGATATGACAGAAGCTCAAACAGGACGCATTATTGGAGGCATTGGTTTAGAAGACCCTTTTCAGTTTCTTTTTCCCTCACAAGGCATATTCCCCCACTGTGATAGTCTGAAGAGTCCAGATATTCCTCCAGGACAACGGAGCAGCGAGGCATCTAACTATAAAGGTATGGAAACCACCAGATGATCATGACTCAAATGAACTGAGGACCAACAAGAGTGATAAAAATGAATGTCAAAAATCTGACAAAATGTTAAAAAGCAATTTATTTTGTAATGTAGATTATATATGACTAAAAAACAATAAGAACTACTTGAGAAGTGAATAAATTCAGTTTCTAATTGGTTTAAGGCTGCAGCTACATATGTATGGTTTTATGTATATTGTTGGCAGACTATTGGCTCTAATAGTAATTTATAAACGTGTAATAAAACACTGTATTAAAATGTCAGAAAATAGTGAAAAACAACTGTTGTAAACTGTCTAAAACTAAAGATGGCATCTTCAAATGTCCAATCAACAGTCTGAAACCTTAAGATATGAAATATTCTCACACACAAAACACTGAGTCTTCATATTTGAGAAGCTGGAAATAATAGAAGTTTTTGCATAAAAAGACTTTATAATTAATTATCCAAGAAGTCGCTGAATATGCTTTGTCGAAAAACTGATCCATTAACTAATTGTTGCAACTCTGTTGAGTTTTAAATGGGATGTCTTTTGATAATTTTCTTTTTATGTAATTCCTTATCTCCACATTTAGGAATGGAAACCTCATTGAAGCCATCTTTAAAGGCAGAAGTGCAAAGACATCAGGTGAGATAAATATTCCCTTATAACATTTTTTTTAACAAATGAATGAATGTTCAGTAACATACATTTATGTTAATATTCTAATTAACAAAAATTAACAATTTCCCTGAGGTTTACACCGAAGGATCAATAAATTTCTATTCTATTCTATTCTATTCTGTTCTATTGTAATGTAAAAAATACTTCAATTTGCATGATGTGCTTTCATTGAATAATGTGTATTCAGAAAGTTGAAGTCTTAAAGTGGGCTTGTACTGTAAACACTGACTTTTTGTGGTGAAATGGTGAAATATATGTTTTATAAATTCAATAATATGTAATTTTTTTTTTCTTTCTACAGGACAAACTTGACACTGAAGATGACTACAGAGAGAAAACAGTGAGGTTTTCTGCAGATGATGCCTGTATGGATGTGACACAAAGTCACACTGTCAACATTGCCACTAATTTCAAACTGCAGTCGCATCAAAATATGGACTTTTTACCCCCATGTGGAGAGAAAACTTTGAGGTTCACTACAAATGATGCAGCTATGGATTTGACCCAGTGCCTCACTGTGAATATTGCCAGTAATTTAGCATCAAATCCCAGTCTTCCTCTGAAGAAACAAGAAGCTGAGACTTTTGGTCCACTTAGAAACAGGTCTTCATCAGCACACAGTTTGAATCCAGCATCTAATAACGTCCTGCCACCTCTCTCAAAACCAAGTGACCCCAGTGTCAGTAATGTGGTGGCAAGAATGATGCCAAATGCAGCAACATTCTCTAGCAGAGGTACAATCTCTTCTGAGGATGACATAAACATGGACTTAACTGAAGCTCAGATAGGTTGCATTTTGGAAAATGATGTGTTCATGGATATGACGGAAACTCAGACAGGCCGAAATATAGAAACCCTAGGCACAGGTGATCCTCTTAAGTGTCTTTTTCCCAACAAAGACATGTATCCTCAAAGTGGTAACCTGAAGCAGGCAGAGACGACTTCAAGTCAGCAGAACACTGAAGCACCTGGACCATCTAACTGTAAAGGTATGGAAACCTTTCTCATTTCTGACCCAACTGTAGACCACAAACTGTGGAGTGTGACATGTAACTAAGCTGAAATTACGGTGTTGGGACAATGATGAAACTGAGAACGCAAACCTCCAAACGAACTAAATTTGACAAAAACTGGATGATATGAATTATTATTTATTTGGCTTTAAAACTTTGTTTTGAAATTCCCTTTTATGCAATGTATGAGAAATGGACAGCAAGGACCATAATAGGGGAATTATTGTCAGATAGCTGTTTTGTATAAATTTGACCTGCTTTTTCACAATTTTTTCCATGTCCATTTTTTAGGTATGGTAACCTCATTCAAGCCTTCATTAAAGACTGAGATGCAAATACATCAGGTAAGCTTGAACATGCACTTATTTTGGTCTTTTTCCCTAATAAAAAAAATGGCTGCACCAGTTTTTGTATTGTGTTAATGGATCAAATGACTGACTGTACAGTGCTGCCCAATTAATGTCATACCGTTTTACAGAATATCTCATTTATAGTCATAAAATATCAAAGTCCCGAATCATTTCTTATATAACTTATAGTAAAACAAGCCGTTTATTGTCATAGCATAATGTCATCATCCTGTTTTTTGTCTTAACGAAATTCCCCGAAATTGATTGCAGGAATAACTTTTGCCCGTTTAAAGTCACGGTCGGCCCAAACGCTACGGCTCACGGGCTGAACGTCGGTCATGCGTGGCAGATTATCACACCCTGGTCAACCAGCAATGTGCTTGTTTTTTTGTCAGTTACCTGCTCACCTGAGATCTGCTTCACTGAGTTATTTTGAAATTAATTAGGGCACATCAAAAAGAATCGCATTGTTGCAGAGCATGTCGTCACTCAAAAATCATGATAAGTGAATCCTCCGTATACCCTCCGGTTAACTTTTATTGATGGGGTGGCTTTTCGTACCGACAAAGGTGAAATTTCACCGAAGCAAAACCATTAAACCGATTGAATAAACATGTCTTGATCTTCAAAGAAACTGTCCCTTTGGC